TATATATATATATATATATATATATATATATATATATGAATGATTGGGAATACAGCTCAGTTGGTAGAGTGCTTGCCTTGCATGCACAAAGCCCTGGATTTGATCCCCAGCAAAACACACACACACACACACACACAATATCATCATCTTGCTGAATAGGAAAAATCCACCACCAACTAAATTTTCACCTCCTAAGAAATTTGTCTGTTATACAAAATGAGCCATAGATGACTGTACAGAGTACAGGTGAAACTTCATACTAGGACATATGTACTACTTTGCTAATTCTAGTCCAGTGCATGCCTCAAGAAGATCCTTAGTCTGCTATTTACTCTTTACATCTAGTAAGACAGATCCCAAATTAGCTCCTACCACCTTCCATTTCCCCAAGTTTCCAAATAGGGATAGAGGTTGAATTTAAGGGATTTAAACCCCGTACCTGTCTGCCAAACCAAAGGAGCATCCCAACTCTATCACTTCCCCTCTTCAGATCACAGGAACATAATCAGACCAGGCAGGTAACATCAGTGAGCAAAATGGCAGATAATACATGTACATATATTTCATAAGCAATGAAACTATAGGGAGTTAAAGAAGAGACTGAAGGAGACAGCAGCTATTAGGTTTAAAAAATTGTAACTATGTGTGATGTAATTAAAAAAAAATTAGAAGTTCAGAATTTTATGTATATTCCTTAACATACAAATGTTAATCCAAGCCTGTTTAAGATCATTATAAAGATCATACATATCATCAGTTCTTAGCCTTTGTTAACCCACTGTTAGCACATCTTTGAACAGCACTGGTCTTGTGTGCTAAATTCTGCAGACTAAGTGTAGCATCACCCTAGGGATAGGTGAAGTTGAAGGTCCATTAACACCTCAAACTGAAAGAGGGCTTTCTTTCTTAGGCAGCCTAGATGGACTCACAGAGCAATGCCATGCAAGGTAGAGCTGCTACTTATGACCACCAGGTGCTTTTCTTCCCAGAGACTCACAGAACAATCTTCATTTCTTTCCCATAGCAACTCCACCCTTAGTGGTTGCTTACCCGTTTGTCAATGTCATTGTGTTGAAGCTGCACAAAACGTGCACTGATGGCTGCGATGTAACTCTGCTGATTGGAGAACGCCACACGGCCAGCACCTTTGGGGTACTTCAGCTCTGGGTCTGTATCAATGCCAGCATAGCAGACACCACCGTACAAACGGTCCATGATCATTGCCAACTCAACTGCAAGAAAATAAACAGGGCTTGTATAAATATTTGGAAAGTACTCTCACCCAGGAAGGAACATGCAATGTAATTAAGAAAAGGAAAACCCATGCTAAGCATCATGAAAAATGTCCACATTAGTCTTACAACTCAAGTAGGGAAGCTACTCACAGGATATTTTAAAATAAAATGGAAAAAAAATTATACACATAGAGTTTACATAATCAGAACTTAAAGCTACAATATAGAAGGATTGATCTATCAGTAATCCTGTTCTAATTTCTAACAGCTTAGTATCTGGAATAGGCCCCAAGTAGGCAAAATATGTCATGATACCATAACAAGTTATAAAGAAAAAGTTCTATTTACTGATCTCTTAGACTGAAAGCACTTGTGAATATCACACTGCTATACTAAGACTAAGATACAGAAAGAATCAACTCCTCATTTTAACTAAAGACATTAAGTTTACAGATTTAAAGCAAGTCTCTATTTTTATTTAGGGTATATTTCATTTGAACTGATAACCTCTCACATAAAAGTCTAAATAATAATACTAATAATGACAATAGAAGCAATGAACATTTATTGAGCACTTAGCTTTAGGAAGCACTGAACTGCTACATGAGGAGTAAAAACATGCCAATCTTGTACCTTGCTATAGGTCCAAAGGTCTGATCTGCTCTCCTTGCCACATTTCTTGCCTTTGTATTGGTATATTTACAAAACACTTTTAGAGAAGACATTTAGAAAATGGACCATTCCAAAGGTTATCTCCACCATACAGGTATCATGGAGAGACATGTAACACTTACCTGCATCCTAAACTGCCTGAAGATAATTGTTTACTTGATTTATACTGGATAGCACCTCCTCCAGGTATGACCATTCTTTTCAGGCCATAGCATAAATCCAAAAGACTCAGCTCTACCCTTGGGAAGTGACCCAAACACCCATTTCCCTCCAATACCTGTATATGGTATTTGAAAAGGAGAAGATAGGGAAAATAGAGGATGACCTGGGCTACAGCCTTTGTGCAAAAGCCACAGGAGAGCTCCACAAAAATCAGTATCTGGGGAGAAGGAAAGTCCCATAAGCTGGTGGGATGGGGGGAGAGTTCTGCAGCAGATTAAAGGGCAGAACGGTGTAAGAACTTCCCTGCCTCAAGATTTCTACAAATAGAAGGAGAGCCAAGTATTACTGGTTCCTCTAATTCAAGACTGTTGAGATGGTAAGAAAAACTGTGTCATCATATCAGAAAAGCTATCTTTTTACTTCTTTGAAATTTCTTTCCATATCAAACTGCTTATATTGGTGATGACTTTCTAAGTGTCTATTTTTAATAGGAAGAATAACCTGTAACCAACAGGCAATTTTCAAGGAAGAAACTAAGCTAGCAATAACTAAGCCTAAGAGGGAGTGCTATTAAAGATAGAGCAGCAGAAAGTCATCCCAATTATCCTATTATAGTCAGAATTACTGAATCATATCAGTCAAGGGAGCACTGAATTAGAGCCAAGTGGACTCTATTGAAGTCTGGGAAGGATCCTGGAATCCCATTCATTTGGATGATGCAACAAGAATTGTACCCAAACCCTGAATACCAAAGTTCAATGGTTATTCACACTGCATCCCAACAATCTCTGATGACTTAAGCTTTTCCTCATATAGCTAATGTTAGTCCCATAACAGAGACCAAGAAATTCAAAGTAGGTTAAATTCTCAATTGCAGTCATTAGTGAATTTCCCTTATTGGTGGAATGGGCCCTGGAAATTAAATTCTAATATTCTGAAGACAGGGTTTCCCATGGAATAGAATAAGGGAGGGAACACTTCCCAAGCCTCATGAGTATCCGGGAAAAGAATGTTGTCAGGGGACTAAATGACATATGTCTTCCACAATATGAAGGACACAAGAAGGCATCTGATAAGAAGGCACATTTGTGGTAAGCTTGAAACTCCAGTTAAGGAGGACAGTTTCTGTAACCACAAGTCCTTCTACACCTTAGTGGTTTCCAAAAGAATCTTAGGGATCCTCCGATGACAGAGAAGGCACCTTCCACAGGCATAAACATTCCATTATTTGTGACTCTACCTGCTAGAAAATCTTCTTCATGTGCCAAACATTACATCATGACTGATGCTGCTGGCAATTAAGTACTTTTGAAAGGGAGCAGAAATGTTCATGTAGTTATGCTTTTACGAAAACTGATTATAAAAAAATTATTTCCATTTATGAGTTTATATACAGTCATTCTCTTGGCCAGCAAAAAGTCTGCAGACATATGAGCCAATAATGTCTCACTTAAGGGAAGGATAATTTGTTGAAAAACTAGAAGAACCCAAATTGACTAAAGGAAGAGTTTTATGGACGAGATAATGAAAATTTCCCTTTCTCTACCTTAATCTGTATTTTAACTATAGAAAGTCTAATATTCTCATCACTCTTGAAGAAAAAGTAAATAACAGTCAAACAACTGCTGTTTATATTTGGTCTTATATTTGACTAGTAAGTCTTTACTCAGCACTTACTGCAGACTGATTTCGTTCTAGGTTCGAACACAAGAGGGATATAATTTAAGTACTAAACAGTGTTTCTAATTTTGAGAAAGCAATTTTCCAATAAGTGACACCTTTTTCCAATACTTCTTTTTTTTTGGGGGGGGGGAGCGAGTACCAGGGATTGAACTCAGTGGCACTCGACCACTGAGCCACATCTATAGCCCTATTTTGTATATTATTTAGAGACAGGGTCTCACTGAGTTGTTTAGTGCCTCACTTTTGCTGAGGCTGGCTTTGAACTTGCGATCCTCCTGCCTCAGCCTCCTGAGCTACTGGGATTATAAGCATGGTTTTTTTTTCAATATTTCTAATGCTATAAAAACAGCATTTTAAAAAGAGCTACTTTAATCCATCCACTAATGTATGCAACTGATGAAAACACAGAGCAAACCTTCCTCAAGTCCTACAAATGTCCAACCTGAGACTTTTCTTCTTTTTAATAGAAGGTATAAAGTTACCAACAAATGTCAGAATGTACAGCTACTTTCAGAAGCTAGATTTTAAAGGCTTCTTTAGAGTAAGAATCATTAGTTAATATAGGAAAGTCATCTCCCTCTGATGGGAAGACAAGAGACATGAGAAGACTAGTTGGGAGGTGGAGAGAAAAACAGAAGGAAAGCAAAACGGTCTATCAAGAGTCAAGTAAAATCGTCACGGGTTCAGCTCAACCCTGCTCATGAAATCTGAGTCCTTGATAAAGGAAGTAACAACTTCTTTTTTTCCTCAAGTACTGGGAATTGAACCAGGGTCTTGGATAAGCTAGGAAAGTACTCTACCACCAAGCTACATCCCCAGCCCAAAGATGTGTGTTAATGGGACTTTAGTAAAGTCACTGAGTCTGTGACAGTGAATTCTCACTATAAATAAATCCTCACTTTCTGTAGATGGAAGAGAAAGAGTAGCACCCAGGAGCATGTTATTAACATTTACCCCAAGAATATGAGGGTACCAAATCATACTGGGCATGCAGATGAAGAGGTCTGGAGTACACACAGAGGTGACAACAAGCAGGGTCCATGAAGAAGTCAGGACTCTCCAAACCACTTTTCAATTTTTCCTTCCCATCTAGACAGTGTTCTCAGGGTCTGATCACCACAGGGATGGGAAATTGGCAGGTGTGGCAATCATGTCCAAGGACACACTATACTTTGGACCAAAAGCTCCATACTCATAAGTCAACTCAAGTCATCTCATGACCAACTTCCACGGTAGCAGCAACACAACTATGGGTTTAATCCACACAGTAGCTCTTGTGATGAGCTTCCTTGTGCCATAAACTAAAGAAGGAAACAAGAATACTACAGCTGTGTAGAGCAAACCACATCCCCACAAGTTCTTCTGGGTTGTGACTGCTCTGAAGTTGAATCTGAACGCAATTATAATTTCTCGGACTTGCTCCTGATCCTTCAGAAATATGGAAAAGGACCTCACTCACCAGAGAAGAAAACATAATTCCTCCAGTCTGTTCTACCCCAGGGTCATTTCTTATCATTTAATTACAGTTTAAGCCCAGTCTGAGACACTGAGAGCCAAATGGAGTGGCAGAGAACCCAAGATTTCACAGGGAAATATCAACACATTCTAAACTGAATCTAGAAGCCCCATTTCTTCATTTTGGAAATAAGGACAGCACACATGGCAAAGAGGCACAGGGTACCTCAGGATGACAAAGATGTATGAAGTTCTGAAACAAAGGAAGATTGAACTTGACCAGTGGAACTTTCTAAATTTCCCACAGTTCCTGGATTGGTTCACAAGAACAGTTCACATGCATCAAAAAAAGGAAACGTGCTCAGATGCTTCTATTCTGCATCAGATGTTAGGAAGTTAATAGTTTTAAACAGATGGTAGGAACAACCAAGTCAAACAAAGAATGCTTAACTAGACTAAATCTAACTGATACCAAGGTGACTGTTACTGAGACAACATCCCAGATCTCAGCTTGCTAAAGCAGCTTCCTTCTGTACAAAGAACCCGTAATTTGAAGTGTGGAAAGCTAAAGAATGACTCTTATCTTTTTCACTTATTGTGACATTAGACCAATTATTCCATGTGAACTCTTTCTCATCTCTAAAATGCAAAGTCCACGGCTTACAATCTCATGGAATTATCATGAAGATTAAAAATAAAGGAGAGCTTGAGGCACACTGCCTAGTAGACTGATGCTCCAATGTTTAGTTTTGTCCAGAGGCTGTTTTCCCCTCAACTCATAAATCTTTGCTTAACATCAAGCTGGCCTGGTTTCTGTGCCATACAAAGCAATTCATACCCCAGCTTTACTTTGGCTTTATGCTAATATTTCTCAATCCGTCACTAATATGGCTAAGTTTGACAGCAGCCCTGGGTAAGGGAAGAGCAAAACCACATACTAATATTAAAAGTCCTTAGCCCTACAGACAAATGCAGCTAATTGAACCAGTGAGTTAAATCTGGAGTTTATTTGGGACATTTCATACCAAACTTCGGACTAGGTAAAAAAAAAAAAAATTCTGCTGTTGAGAAATTTGATACAGGATGATTTTGGCTTGCTACTACTTCACAGAACAACAACAACAAAAAGCGTGGTTACTTTCCTAAATCACAAATTGGAATGCTTCCCAATTCATATGAATTAGGTAATGTTTATACAGAATGTGTGGAATCAATAATCTTAGAAAAATTCATGCTACATATTCTCCCCATATATGACATGTATCACTGAATATTTACCTCAGAAGGTTTTACCTCCCAGGGCTAGGAATAGGGATTGTCTAGCATGCATGAGACCCAGCTCCTCAAAACAAAAAACATCCCACAGAAAAGCTATCCTCATAATAGAGTAAGGGAGGGGAGCTTAGAGAAGGAAATTTCAGAATCCATCAAAGAATATTAGTAGGGCAAAAAAAGAAAGAAAACAATTATCAGAATAATAGTCAGGAAAGATAGGAGATCCAAGGATGATCAAGCAAATGGTAGGTTCCAAGGGTTCAGATAAGCCATCTTTCAAGATTGATTTGTTCTGAAGGGCCTAGTCCAAAAAAATGTTGGAAGGAAGCCGTGAAGTGAAAGAACAGCTCACATGCCTCTGATTAGAAAGAACAAGGGCTTTTCAAGCCTGGTCAAGGTCAGGAGTGGGTTGATCACAAAGCCTGGTCACTAAAGCAGTCCTCAAATCAGATGCTTAAGCCAAGAAGCTGGAATCAGAGAAACACGTTAATAAACTGGGGGAGTATGTGGGGACTAGATATTTGATTCTCCCCTTATCCTGATGGTCTCCTCATGACCCCCAGCTGAGGTGTGCCTTTAGAGAGGTCTTAATGCCATGTGGTTATGCAACAGGGCTATTTCTCATGGACATTCAGGAAGACACACTGCTCATATTACTTGAATGGAGAGTGGCAATGTGCACTACTTCCAGGTGGCAGCAGGTAGAGCACCATTTCCCTGTACCAACTCTCCAAAGAATGTAAAAATTTTAACCACAAGGTGGCATGGTGGGTCCACGTACAGCCTTTCCCAGCAGGGAGATGAGATGAGGTAGGGCATACATACAGAGAAATAAAGATCTAAGGAACACTATACTTCATCTTTGGCTTGCTACAGTCACTGACAGATGAGATGATAAGAACATATATTATATGACCTAGAGAAATTCATCAAAGGTGATAAGAAAACTCATCTAAATCTAGATTTTCCTTTGATATTTTCCCATTTTCTGGTTAATTTTTCTAGACCTGTGCTTTTTCCCCAAAACCTTAATTTTAAAAAGGAGGGCTGGTGAAAGGACCAGAAGATATAACCTAAACTCGGTCAGGACAATACTGCTTGAAACAGGTTGCCTTGTTCCTGTATTTCTGTTTATAGTTTCTGTTTGGAGGGATAAAGGCTGTATTTAGAATAACTATTAGTGATGAAGGTTCCTGGACTTACAGTGGGGAAATTTCAAAGATTAAAAACAAAAACAAACTAACAAAAATCCTCACGTAATCCAAAGGAATAACTCTGGAGTAATAACATTTGAGTCACTCTGACTTGGTAAAGGACAATTTTGGGGCCAGGATAAAGTGAAAATCCATGTTAACATCTAAAAAATCTCATCTGTTTCGTTGATTTAGTGCCTAAAATAGTTTTAAGACTTTAGAATTTTATTACTACAATACCTCTTGGAAGTAATAAAAAGTGTACTGAAGTACTTCAAACAAGATCTAAGAATCATTATGTCAAAGAATATAAATCAGCCTCCCATTAATCCTAAATTAGCATTCTATTGATGCATTTATTGTTTATTCTGTTCTGAAATCTTTGACTCTGTAAGTATGATGACCTGTTTAACATGATGATGGGATGTTCATTCAGTTTGGTATGACATGCAACTTGCTTGTTTGTCAGTGGATGTTTAATAAATGTTTATTGTTCAAGTCAACTGCATTGTAACTGATTTAAGATTTTATAGCAAAGTCAAATTGAATTCCTTTAAAAATAGTCTTCTATTCCAAGAGTCCACAAAACTCAGTGTGCTGCAAAGAAACATAACTCTATGCACATGAATAAAAGCTACAGATAATAACTCTTTTGTTTAGATCACATGGCTTCTAATCTGGAAATTCTGGGAGACAGAGTAAAATATAGGACACTAATATAGATGATCTAGCCACTTGGAAACTTGCTGCATTTATGGGATTTTTTGGCAAGGGGGGAACATTTCCACTAGATTAAGTGATTTTTAGATTATACCCAAATTAACTAAGAAAGCAAAATAATTTTATGGCAAAAAAAAAAAAATTCTAGTTTAAAAAAAAAGAGAACCTCAAGACTTACAGACTTTAAGGTATACTTTTCTCTAGGCAAAACCCACAAATCCCCTGTCTGACTAGGTAACTAAATATATTTCTTGTCTAGTCCTAGAACTTGTAGCATCTTGCAGACACTAAATGTTAAAGAATATAATTTTGTGTCTTGGTGACAGAGAGATAGTACAGCAAATGTGAAAAATGCATCTTCATAGGATTTATGGAGGAAAAATGATATAGAGCAAATGTGAAAATGCATCTTCATAGAATTTATGGAGGAAAAATGATATATCTACCCTTCCAAATCATTCAAACCGACCGAATAAAGGATGAGTAATATAAAAGGGAATTTAGTTTATAAACTCGAGTTTCTATGACTTAAACATAGATGTAGGAGTTAAATTCCATTTTGTTAACTTGTAATTGTAGGTCTTTTTCTTTCAGAATATTTTTTCCAGATTCCCATCTAAGAAAGGAGGAGAGGGACTAGAATATTAAATTTATACCTGTAGTTAGTTGCAAAAAGGAATACCAAGAATATTAGCAATGAAAGTCCATTTGTAGAATACATATGCATTTAAAAGAATACCAAAAAAATATTTTATTCCTCTCCATTTCTAAATATAACATCCATTAGAAAAAGTCAGGAATATTCCACAACACGACCATTCATAATTTTTTTTTTTAAAGTGCACATTTAAGTTAGAAACTAAGGACTGCAGTTCCCAAGTGAGCCTGTTCTTCCTAGACGTTATTCTTTATAGCAGATAAAGAGGGGCCATCTTTGCTGCTTTGTTTTCTTTGTTTTGGCACAGTTTTCCATTAGAATGAAGTAAGACTCAACAATTATTTGACTTTCTGAAATAGTATAAAATCATAAACTCTATAGTCATAATTATAACTTTAAATTCCTTCAAAATGGAATTATGAATATATCTTTACATAGGTCTAAAGTTATCTTTTAGGTGTGAACTGGAATTGGAATTTGAATAATTATGTTGGAAATGTTCAGAAACTTTCAAAATTAGTCATCAAAGTCAGAGAACCAAATACTATAGGTTATCTTTTACATTTCTGTTTCCATGACTTAATTTTAATGATTTGCTTTTTGTTTTATATTTTAGGTAGAACTAAGTCTACTTACTTACAAATAACACAGAAATAATGTGTTTCTGCAACTGTAGGGGCAATGGAACCTTGTATTTTTGGCTTGTTTTTTTTTTAAATTCATTTATTCTAAGTGCTCTAAAAACTTAGTCTTAGAAATAAATTTATTATATCCCATTGGCAATAATATTGATTATCAGGAGGCTGATGCACAGCTACTTAGATTTGTCTTTGGATTTAATAAATATTAAAGTCTTCAGTTCACATCACTTCAAGCTCTTAGGCAATTATGATTCTGCTCAATCTCAGCAGCACAGTTTATCACATCATTAGAAACAATTTTTAAAAAATAGGGAGGCTTTTATAAAGTTATAACAAAAATGCCAAAGTCCATAATTCATTTCTTGTAGTCCATGAGCAAAAATAGGAATCTATCTCACTTGGGAAGAATTCAGTTTGATTCTCAGGAATATTATTTCCAGCAGTGGTCTGGCTCATCACTGAGTAGGCACACAGACACACTGGACAGATTTCTGATGGGTGACTTCTTTTTCTGTCACACATAGCAATGCAAACTGTCATAAGAATGCTACCCTGCAAATATATACATATATATGTATTTTTATACATATATATATTTTAAACATAGTTAAATAGGAAACATGATGGTTTAATGAAATTCACCCTTGCACCACAAAAAAAATAAAGAATTTGGGGAGAAAATAATTGTGAAAAAAATCAGCTCAGTGAAAAACAACATGACAGCCTTCTCTTGGAGATTGTGTAGAGCTGACTGGAAACCTAGAACATTGTTAGGATGAAATACATTGGGGATTTTGTTGTTGGTTTTGTTGTTGTGGTGTTACTATTTCCACTCACCAGCTCGAAGGGGTCGTGGAACTCCCCCAACAAAGATAGTTTTTCTGGGGTCCAAAGGCTGAGAACCATCCATTACAAAGTCACTGTCACTTAGGTTCCATGGTCGAATTTGCACCTGAAAAAAAGTCGTTTACTTGGTCCTTACTTCATTTCCATCAACCCCAAATGAAAATAAGATGACTAAAGACAAACCCATATCTGTTTATTTTACAACATACAGGACCCAAACAAAATCCAGTTAATTAGTTAAGGTAATTTGCAGGAAGTGACTTTATGTAGAACGCTTGGGGAAGTTATTCAACATTCCAGACACATACCAGGAAACCTTCAGAAAACCATGGGTGATTTCTTTTTTTTTTTTGGTTTTTAAAGGCAGCCTTTTGGCAGGTTTTGGGTTTTGAACCAGATTCATTTTAACATATCATAGTCTCTTTACAACCTGTCACAGTACACCATTTAGCTTTTTAAGAGCCCATTTAAAAGGAAGGGAACAGGTGTATTAGAAATATTTTCTAAGTATTATCTCTATGTCTGGCTTTTTAATTCTTATCAACCTCCCAAATTTAAAGTACTTATCTTTTAGCAACATGATTTAACTTAGATTAACACTCATCAAGTTAGCAAGGAATTATCAGAGATATCAAACATGAAGCATGTAGAGCGTCATCCAATTTTGATTAATTTACTTGATTTTGCTAAACAAGATTTACACAGTTCTTTTCTTTCTTTTTTCTTTTTCTTTTTTTTTTTTTGTTCTGGGGAATGAACCCAGGACCTTGCACATCCTAGGCAAGAGTTCTACCAATGAGATATACACTCAGCTATTTTTATTTTGAGATAGGGTCTCACTAAGTTGCCTCAAATTTGTGATTCAACCTAGCTGGGATAACAGGAGTGCATCACTGTGCTCAGCTTGCCAATTACACTTTCAAAATGCCTTGTATTCACTCTAAAACTGGCATTGCTCTTTAGAAACAGTCTATACATCCCTTAAGAAGCTAGTCAATTCACCCTCACCCAATATTTTGCTTTTTATGACATTTTTGCCCTTACCAGTCAGTCAGAAGCCACAAAAGCTTAATTTCTTCCTTAGACTGAAAACCTGGACCTGTCTGCAATTTTCTTAACATTCAAACATTTGTTCCATCTTTATTGCATGAAATAAAAAGAAAAAAATCCAGCTCTTTCCTTGTAAAATTTGGTGTTTGGCTAAATCATCATTCCCTTGATATTTACCACAAAGGCAGATTCACCAGCATTATAAAACATCACTTTAAATGTCTTCATAAGGACCCATTACTAATTTTTAATTAAAAACATGATAATTTCCTGGTACTACAAAAACAATTCCAATATCACAGATTAAAGGAAAAGAGTATTATCTTTTTCTACAAAGAATCCCCTCTTCTTCTAGTCTTATTCTTAATAAAGCAGTTAAGCAACTTCGGGACCCAGTTAGGTGATTCCAATTACCTTATGCTAATTGAGATTTGTCATGGACTACCCCGCCTGCCTTTTTTTGAGACAAAGTCTTGATAAGTTGCCCAGGCTGATTTTGAACTTGTGGACTCAAGTGATCCTACTGCCCTAGCCTCCCAAGTAGCTGGGACTGTAAGAACACACCACTGTACTCAGCTGGTCATGGATCACTTTGTTTGGAAAATGAAAACAGCCAGGCATGGTGGTGCACGCCTTAATCCCAGTAGCTGAGGAGGCTAAAACAGGAAGATGGTGAGTTCAAAGCCAGCCTCAGCAAAAGCAAGGCTGCAAAGCAATTCAGTGAGACCCTGTCTCTAAATAAAATAAAAAATAGGGCTGGGGTTGTGACTCAATGGTTGAGCATCCCTGAGTTCAGTCCCCATTACATCCCACCCCACAGCAAAAACAAACAAACAAACAAACAAACAGTTGCTGTGGGGTATCCATAGTGATCTGTTTTCATTAATCAAACCATACTCTTTTGTAATAGCAATAGGTTGCCACTGTTCAAAGGAACCCTGCAGAAGATCTCACACCTTCCTGCTGAGAGCTCCATCACTGCCTTTTCTCCCCCCACACTCCCTCCCTCCACCCTCACTTCATCACATCACACACAACCTTTTCCTCTACCATATTCTTGGTATTACAGATTAGATAAAATACAGCAAGAGGGCTCAGGACACAGTGCTTATTAACCATAGTCACAAAACTTGTATTTCCCAGCTGCTACCAGAAAACTGTTGCTCAAAAGCTGGCACTTCTACAGAACTAGAAAAATGTCAGCACAGGCCAACATGAGCACCCTCTGTACATGCACTGTGCAAAAGTAACAAGGTGGTACTTAAAAAGTACTTAAGACTTAAGAAGTTCCACTTACACTGGGGTTTCTCTCTGAAAAAGAATTTTTTTTCATAAGGCATATTTCTCCATCTTCTTAGGTTTAGCTTTAGACCTCAGGGCCAGATACAAATGTCTCATCTGGACTTACTCTGTGGATATACTTTCTGATCCTGATTTTTATTTTATTTTTGCTGATTCTGGGAATTGAACCCAAGGCCTTGGACAGGCCAGACAAGAGCTCTACCACTGACCTACATTCCCAGCATGATCCTGATTTCTATGTCTATTTCTGTATTATAATATCATATACTTCATAAGCTGATACAAATATTCTATGAAAAGGCTAAGTATAAATAAAAGAACTGCTTTTCAATTATATTTTTTCTTCAATAATCATTTTTGAGAATGAATGAAGTTAGAACTTTGTCCTAATTCAATATAAATTTTCCCCAGCCACACAACTTTTATATACATAGGGACAGCTCTGTATGTGTATATGTTTGAAGTGACTCATCCAGTGTGTTGTCAAAGAGGCCCTACTCTACACAGTAAAAGACTCAGCATTCTGGGGACATGCAGAAATAGTGAAGAGTCCCCTAAATGAAGCTAACAGAATCCCAACAATCCTTCTTGGAGCAACCCAATCACATTTGTTTATAAAGGTGACTTTAGGAAGAGGTGCTGCTATATCATTTGGGAGGCACATACCCTTTGGCCATGCTATGTCCTTACAACACAAGCTCAAAGTCTGTAGAATAAATGCACCATGTCACCAGGACACTGTTAGCAGACAGGCAGTGATACACTGAAGGAAACCACTCCTGATGGAACCAGGCACTTCTGAGCTCCAGCAAGTAGCTACCTTTTATGAGAATGTTGTCCTTTTTCTTAAAGAGTGGCTATATTTTTATGTGAAACATCAAGATTCTAAAATGTTGGGAACTAATTCAATGGTTAAAATCACTTTATAAGTGAAACAAAGTGCCAGATCTACCCTGTGGATCCTGGTCTATGATCTTTGGCTTGAAAGGTTTAGTTATCTCATAGCTCACAATGCAATGTTCTCTTCCATAGCATTTATAAGAGAAAATACAAAAATAGTCTTTCTTTAGTTTCTTTTTTAAGTATGTATTCCTATGGAAGCTCTCCTGAGGACCTGGACACCTACTTTGGGCTGAATTCTGTATCTTCTCAAATTTTATCTTTTAAATCAGAAATCTGTTCTGTATAAGTGTTTATCTCCAAAGGTAAAATCTTTTTAGGAATAAAGCAAAATCAAACACAAAGCTTGCTGATATAAATATGTGAATTCATACCACACCGAGACTTTAATAACATCAGCCTTCAAAAAAATCTAAACAACTGTAACATAAATAAAATCAAGAGTTTTTAGTGAAAGTACTAATTTTCCTTTTCAAGGTTTCCCAAAATGCATTCTATGGAACACAGGTCCCTACTGTTGATATACCAGACAAGTAGTATTTGGGAAAAGTTACAGATTATCTTCTCCTTGGGAGTTTCACAGTATCCACTGACATATTTAAAAGACTCTGAGGAATTCTATAGGCAAGAAATATGTTCACTGTTTATCTCAGCATCTCAAAAGTTATTTCCATGGAACCCTTTCTTTTTTGCATAACACCCACTAATATCTTTGTATAATATACTGCCCTGTTCTATTTTACCCTTAAGGTGGTTTATCAAAATACAACATATTAAGGCTCGGGATATAGTTCAGTTGGCAGAGTGCTTGCCTCACATGCACAAGATCCAGGGTTCAATACCCAGCACCATCATGTATGTATGTGTGTGTGTGTGTGTGTATATATATACATATTAAGGTAATGACTAACATAACAAAATGTTGCAGAAGCTTCACTCCTGCCTAGACCTTTTCCTCGCTTATTTCCTGCTATTGCTCTGAAAGGTTTGCTTTTATAGAAACTAACATTAAACACTTAAGAGTAAATTTAATATTAGTAAGTTTAAATTTTATCTGTTCAAAGAATTGAAAGTTTTCTGACTGAACTGCATTAAAATATGTTAGCAAACCAATTTGATGATTTTGTCGTAAATAAAGAATGAAATATCTAATAATAGATCTATATGAAAACTAAAGTTTCATCATACTTAAAACTAAAGGCCATTAATAGGGATAAGATTAGGCCAAGTGGTAGGAAAAAATATTAAGAAATGTAATGTGGGTCACTTCTTTAAACAGGTATACAAAAGCATTATTTGCTAAAAAAGATTTCAGTGAAAATTTACAAATATAAAAATATATTTTTATATTGTAAGTATAAAATTACAACATAAAAATATATTTTTGCTGGTGCAGTGGCACACTCCTCCTATAAACCTAGTGACTCAAGAGGCTGAGGCAGGAAATAGCAAGTTTGAGGTCAGCCTCAGCAATTGAGAGAGACCCTCAGCAACTGAGTGAGACCCTATCTTAAAATAAAAAAATAAAAAATAAAAAGAACTGAGATTGTAGCTCAGTGGTAAAGTGCCCCTAGGTTCAGTCCCTAATTTAAAAGTGGGCAGCATTTTTGTTGTGTCTTTAATTATAGTAAAAGAGAAAACACAGGTTTCATAACAGTTTTGTTTGTTTGTTTGTTTGTTTGTTTTGTTTTTTGTAGTACTGGGGATTGAACTCAGGGTCTTGCTCATAAAAGGCAAGTACTCTATCACTAAGCTACACCCCCCGCCCCAGCTCTTTTAATTCTATTTTTAGAGAGGCTCTGGCTAACTTGCCCAGGCTGACCTGAAACTTTCAATTCTCTGAAGTAGCTGGGA